AATACATTGTAACTGAGGACTAGTAACATTAAGTCTGTCTACACAAGTAATAGATTATAACTGAGGACAAGTAACATTAAGTCTGTCTACACACGTAATGCATTGTAACTGAGGACTAGTAACATTAAGTCTGTCTATACACGTAATACATTGTAACTGAGGACAAGTAACATTAAGTCTGTCTACATACGTAATACATTGTAACTGAGGACTGGGGGCATTAAGTCTGTCTACATACGTAATACATTGTAACTGAGGACAAGTAACATTAAGTCTGTCTACATACGTAATACATTGTAACTGAGGACTGGTAACATTAAGTCTGTCTACACACGTTATACATTGTAACTGAGGACTGGTAACATTTAGTCTGTCTATACACGTAATACATTGTAACTGAGGACAAGTAACATTAAGTCTGTCTANNAGTAACATTAAGTCTGTCTACACACGTAATACATTGTAACTGAGGACTAGTAACATTAAGTCTGTCTACACACGTAATACATTATAACTGAGGACACGTAACATTAAGTCTGTCTACACACGTAATACATTATAACTGAGGACACGTAACATTAAGTCTGTCTACATACGTAATACAATGTAACTGAGGACTGGGGGCATTAAGTCTGTCTATATACGTAATACAATGTATATGAGAACTAGTAACATTTAGTCTGATGAAAAAACCCAATTATGAGTCAATATTCTTTCTTGCTCACACTTTTTATTTTTGTATGACTGAAGCCAAACACAACTGTTTCCACGTCGCGGAACAGGAACACCCTCCAGTTCAGTCAAGGTATCGTTTTATATTCGACACTGGAAAAAAAAGAGAATATTGTAAACAATAATTGAAAAAGAAATGTTTTCCACGGTTCATCAAACAAAACGTGTGGACTTAATAGGTACGTTGTGTAAAACAAGTTACACCGTAACATTAATAGTTGAAACCGAATTAAAATGTTCACTTGTTTATAGGTTACTAGCATCTTCCAGAATATGTAATATATTCTTAAACAGACAACACACTTCTTATTGAATGAAAGACAGTAGGATACCCAGTTGGGTAACACAAGCCTAGATAGTGAAGCTAGGCCTGTCTATACCATAGACATACTGAAATATACCTATATACCTTTTCTTGCATATGCTATAAAAGCTCATTTGACATGGAACATCATTCCAGGCTGATAGCGACTCCCCACTCAGTGCGAGGCAGTCCTCATTACTATTAGCGTTGTTAGGTTCTCCGGATGCCCAGTCGGTAAATCCAAATGTTTGACCGGTCCTAATCCAGATCCATCGTCCCTCGCGCTGCTCGTCTGTTCCGCCAATGAAGTAATACTTGATTTCAGAGGGATGTTCTGGAATACAATACAAAGTAGTTATCAATCTCGAAGTGTATGATAGCAGTATTTTATAGGCAACACAATGACATGTTAGTTAAATAATCAACGATCAACATCACCATTCCAAACCAACATGACTAATCAGGAGAACGTGTGCTCAGGTTCTCACAGAGACTAGATGAGGAGGCAAGCTATGGTGTCCGGTCCAGGTCTTAAAACAAATGTAAGCAGTTCATGTTGAATTTGTTTCAGGCCCAACTCAATTCATCACCCGATGAAATCGACCAAAGCAATTTTCAAACCTTATATTTCAATCAACGTGTGTTTTTCTCTCAATAATTGGAACTTGTGAAGTCCATTTTGATAGCTTGTCCCAGATTCTGGAGCTTGTGCAAGTCTACGAATTTACGTAAAAAAATATAGTCCGTCATTGAAGGACCATCATTCAACATCATGGTGTACGTTGTTAGTTCAATACAGCAAAATTATGTAGAAACAAAACACAAAACCATATTTAATTTTTATAGATGAATTCATAAGATACTCGTCATTGCGGAAGAATAATATCTAGACGCGGTGCGCAGACTCAGCTGCGAGTCTACGCCAGTCATCTTTTTACTAGCTCAAAGTGGAGAGCCGCTTTTCAAGGTTTTAGATCTTCTGGAATGTGAAGCTGCAGTAATTGAATGACGAGTTAGACAGGAAACCAGACGTGGCTCGAAAGGACGAAACAATTTAATATGGCAGTTGGCTGTTCGACGGCATTTCATATAGGGGGGACCACATGGATCTACGTTGTTTTCGATTTGTTCCAGGGTTGATACTGACGCGAGAGGCAGAATGGGTAGCTGGAGGGAGCATTTGTAGGGCAGTTCATGACTTGTCACTTCCGCTAGCAACCGTTAGCTGATAATATTTTGCTGATTGATCGTTTTTGGTTGTTGTACAATTTCTTGTGTAGCTTCAATAAAAATGTAAAGTTTCATCAAGTGGTATCTTCTTTGTTTAAACATGTCAATAGTTATCTCCCTTCGTAAAATCATACGCACAGGCTGTCAAATCTGGACAAATTCATCGGCAAATGAAAGAGGTTACATTTTGTAGTTGCATTGAACCATCTTGAGTAGGAATTAAAATACATATGTATGATGTCATAAGTATATATCTTATAGATATAAATGACATCATCTATATCTAAAATTTATGTATGACGTCATATATACCTTACAGATAGGTATGACGTCATCTAAATCTTAAACATATGTATGACGTCATCTATATCTTAAATATATGTATGACGTCTCCATATAATAAATATATGTATGACGGCGTCTATATCTTTACTGGTTACATGAAACGTATCAGATACATATTTGAGAAAAGACATCGTTTTGAAATGGTATTGATGTTATATTTAATACAAGTATCAATGAAGAATATTGTCTGCCCAGTAATGAAATTGCAATAGTTACTTAGGTCAAATATGGCGTCTACAAATAATCGTATGAACCACTGCAATGTAAATGGAAGTAAACACTTAGTTTCCATATTAAGGGTATGACGAACTTATCTGATGATTATTTTCCGGTTTCAGAGATAATTTGACTACAAGACTGGAACCCACGGTAAGCGTTGAGATAACAACACGGTCGGTTAATTAAGGATCCCTCTCTCATGAAATAATAACTTAAAATCCCTCTGAAGGAATTTTGTATTCACCAAGTCTAATATATCTAACACACAAACAAAATGACAGAAGTATGTTTTATACATGTTTGTGCTAGAAAATGTTCGTTTTCCATACCTTTATTCCGAATTTTCCTCATTTCAAACTTGACGAAACGATTTTCTTGAAAGCCAGTAATCGCCACAAGGTCACCATGTAAGGTCTGGCAGTGTGCCTAGAAAATATATGTCATCTTACAAACTACTGGTTCTTAGTTATCCATTTTAACATGTGCCTTTTTATTCATTATTTGTCTACGCTAATTATGATGTAAATAAGTAGGTAATTCGGATTAATGATTTGACCTTATGGTTTATACAAAATCTCGCTTTATAAAGAGATAAAAATAAATTACTGATTTTTGTTCAGTTACCATCACGGGATTGCCTACATCTGTGGGAGGGATCTACATGTACCTATCCGTCTGTAAAAGGGATCTACTAACCCGTCTGTGAGAGGGATCTACTTACCCGTATGTGAGAGGGATTTACTTACCCGTCATTGAGAGGGATCTACTTACCTGTATGTGAGAGGGATCTACTTAACCGTCTGTGAGAGGGATCTACTTACCCGTCAGTGAGAGGGATCTACTTACCCGTATGTGAGAGGGATCTACTTACCCGTCAGTGAGAGGGATCTACT